GAAGGAAGGAAGGAAGGAAGGAAGGAAGGAAGGAAGGAAGGAAGGAAAGAAGGAACGATAAGAGCAAGAAATTGAGTGGCTCACAAGTTCGAGGCTGGTCTGGTGAGATACACTCTTCAAAAAATAAAGCAGCAAGCAAGCAAGCAGGAAGAAACAGGCAGAATGAGGCCTAGGGGCTGAGGGTGAGTGGGGTTGAAGTCTGGCCTTACCTCTCCGGGCACTCAGGTCTCCACTGGGCACCAGGTAGCCCCGGCCGTGAGGACACAATGATTGGTATTCAGCTGTACACAGAAGAAAAGGTGAGCCCAGAAACCCAAGCCCCAGTCCCTGCCCGAGCCCACTGGCTGTAACCCCCTACCAGGCGCTAAAGCCCTGGCCCCTTAGCACCCACTTCTCAGCTTCACGCCCACTGACGCCCACCTGGTGGCTGATGGCTCACTCTTGTCCTGGCAGCACCAGTAACCCAATCCTAGGTCTAAACGTATCCCCTCTGCAGGCTCCAGATCCCCACATCTACACCATGAGCTTGAGCCCGCGTGTCCCCACAGGCCACGCCCACCTGTCTCAGTGCCCGGGCACTGCTGGATGCGACAGCCGCTGCCCCAGCCTTCTCCCACAGTACAACAGCACTCCTGCCACGTCACGTTTCGGGCCAAGATATTGTCACACGCATCTGGAGCTGCTGTGTCAAAGTAACACTCACGACGCCCGCTGCTCACGGGTCCCTGCCTGGGAGGGCTGGGTCTTCGAGGTGGGGGAGGGGCTGGAGGCCTGGCTGGAAGACCAGGGCTGGCAGGTGCTTGGGGCTGCGAGCCTGGGAACGTGCCTGAAGAAACAAAAGGCAAGGTATTCATTCAGTCTCCCATTCTCCCAAGTCAGTGATGGGGGAAGAGGTTTAGAGGGTACCAGCAGTCAGTGGCTGAACAGGACCACACAGTTTTGGAGCTAGGGGACAGAGAAAGTCTTATGTAGCTCAGGATGACTTCGAACTCCTGATTCTGCTGCCTCCACCAAGCAAGCTAGGATTTTAAGTGTGCATCATTACAAACCAAACCTAGAGCCATATGAATGCTAGGCAAGGACTTTATAACCTAAACAGCCACATTCAGTCTTTATGTGTAGTATGTAATTTTCGTTTTATTGGGGTTTTTCTTTTTCTTTTCTCTTTCTTTCTTCCTTCCTTCCTTCCTTTTTTTTTTTTTGTTGTTGTTGTTTTGTTTTGTTTTTTGTTTTTTGAGACAGGGTTTCTCTGTGTAGCCCTGGCTGTCCTGGAACTCTGTAGACCAGTCTGGCCTCGAACTCAGAAATCCTCCTGTCTCTGCCTCCCAAGTGCTGGGATTAAAGGCGTGCGCCACCACTCCCTGGCTCGCTCTTTCTTTCTTTCTTTCTTTCTTTCTTTCTTTCTTTCTTTCTTTCTTTCTATTTTTGTATTTGCTTTGAGAGAGGGTTTCCTCGTGTAGCCCTGGCTGTCCTGCAACTCACTCTGTAGACCAGGCAGGCCTCGAACTCAGAGATCATTCTGCCTCTGCCTCCCGAGTGCTAGGATTAAAGGCGTGTGCCACCACCAGGCTTCAGACTGATTTTTTAAAAATCAATAACACTGTACGTCCAGAAACTCAGAGATCCTCCTGCCTCACCCTCTAAGTGCTGGGATTACAAGTGTGAGCCACCATGCCCAGACTCATTTTGGCTTCTCCTATCACTTTGGTGACCTTTGCTTTACAATCTCCCACTCCCCTCAGCTATGGGACAGCTGGGGACAGGTGATTTCCAATGCTTTCCATGTGACCCTCTGGGTCTTCACACCCAGCTCGTCCCAGACTAGATGAAACCATTCCCCGGCCAGGGACCTCACAGCTTGCCCACATGGTTCTTAGATGTTTCTCCCACCCACTGTCAGTACAGAGAGATTGGAACTCTGGGAGACAGAGGCAGGAAGACTCATCTCAGACTCTGAGGAAGAAAGACACACGAAACTGAGGAGAAGTAACTAGCCTTATGGCAGACTTAGACTAGTTTAATTGAGTTTCAAGCTAGCAGGAATGAACCAAAGCTCATGGCATTTATTGATAAATAATTAAGTCTCGCCGGGCGGTGGTGGCGCATGCCTTTAATCCCAGCACTTGGGAGGCAGAGGCAGGCAGATTTCTGAGTTTGAGGCCAGCCTGGTCTACAGAGTGAGTTCCAGGACAGCCAGGGCTACACAGAGAAACACTGTCTTGAAAAAACAAAAACAAAACAAAACAAAAATAGTCTCAGTGTCATTATTTTGGGAATAGAGGCACAGGTGTAAAAGCCCAAGGTTACATTGTCCCTCCCCACTTGAGGACCCTGGTTTGGTCCAGCCTTGTCCTCTCCTCCTTCGACACTTCCACTCAGCACTTTCACACAGCATCCCTAGGGAGATTTCAAATTCATTCTTGATTGACACTGGTCCATGGTGTTACATGCCCTGAGGAAAAGTCCAACCTCCTAAAGCAAGTACCTAGAACATCAGCGAGGCACGCCTTCTAGGTCTATCTGTGAGGGCTCTTCCAGAAGACCCATGGCAGCTTCCCATGGGATAGAACTTTGGACTGAATAAAAAGGGGAGAAGGAAAAACCAGCTGAGTTCCCCTATCCTTGCTTCCTGGTCGATGGTCAGTGAGCAAGAAGCCTCACACTCCAGCTACCAAGTATTTCCCATAGGTGGACTACAGCATTAAATCATGGACCAGAATAAACCCTTCCTCCTTTACATAGCATGACGGTCACAACTACACAATGCCTGCTGCGCACACTTCACTACTTGTTTCTTAGTTCATACATGCACCCCTTCGGAAGCCTCCCCCCAAAAGAAAAAACCTGTTCCCATGATGGCCTGGGTATTTCCTTTCACCCTACAGCTCCCGTTGTTCTCAGTCCCTCCCAGACAGTCCAGATTCCTCTGGATAGCTAGGGGTATCTCTGTCTCTTTATTACACCATTTTTTAACTACTGGGGATTGATTACAGGGCCTTGTATATACCAGAAAGATCTCTACCACTGAGCCACGCCCCCAGCCCCTCACTGGGGGATTCTAGGCAGGGACTCTACCGATGAACCACACCCTTGTATCCTCACTGGGGGATTATCTAGGTAATTGTTCCACTGCCGAACCTTTCACTAGTGGTGTCTAGACAAGCATTCTGCCACTGAACTATACACACTTAGCCATCTTTTTACTCTTGACTTGAGACAAGGAAGGCCTTAATAAATGGCCCAGACGGTCATTGAACTCCCTTGGTAGCCTTCACCCTTCAGACTCACCTCCGCTTCTGAGCAGCCGTAGGCTTTACGGCACCTGGTTTAGCTCTCCATTGGATTTTGAGACCATCAGGTCAGAGGTTAAGCCTCTCTGCTTACTACTGTGTGTGTTCCCAGTGTGTGGCAAGGCCCCGAACATGTTGACTGGCCTATGTATACCTGCCAAATGAAGGAACCTAGCAGACCTCAGGTCAGGAACTAATTCTCTTGAATAGATCTAATGTCCATGTCAAAGGCTGGAGCCTGCAGCTGAATGTAGAACATGTGTGTTATCCATGCTATCCATCATGTGTGTCCTAAGGGTGTTTGTATATTTGTTTAAACCAATAGCATTTAGCGTTTTGGCTGTGGTTCAGTTGGTGGAGTGTTTGCCTGGTATGCTCAAAGCCCAGGGTTTGACTCTCAGCACCATGTAAGCCATGCCTATGTGGTACATGCCTATGATCCCAGCACTTAGACAGTAGAGGCAGGAGGATCAGATAGATGATCAAAGTCATTTGAGCTACATAGAATTTATGGCCAGCCTGGGCTACCTATCTAGGAAAAAAAAAAGAAAAACAAACAAAAACAAAAACCAGCTGGCAAAATAACTTGCAGTGGTTCTCACCCCATGAGTTGTGACATCTTTAGGAAGTTCCATGTCAGATATATTGTGTGTCATATGTTTACATTATGATTGATGACAGTAGCAAGATTACAGTTATGAAGTATCAACACAATCATTTTATGGTTGGGGCTCACCACAGCACCAGGAACTGTATTAAAGGGCCACAGCATTAGGAAGGTTGAGAACCACCGGCTTGTCAGGTAAAGACGCTCATCATGGAAGTCTACCAATGAGTTCAATCCCAGGGACCCATGTAAAGGTGAAGGAAAGAACTAACTCCACAAAGCTGTCCTCTGACCTCTACATCCACATCACGGGACATCCCGTGTCTACAGGCATGTACATATCATATTACACCATAGCATCATACAAGAATAAAAGTTTAACAAGTAAAGGCTGGAGAGAGAACGCAACAGTGAAGAGTGAACTCAGTTCACTTGCTCTTGCAAAGGAATCATGGTGCCCAGCACCCACGTGGCCTTCTCAGGCACTCCCGCGGACATGTATATACCCACTCACCACACACAAAAATAAAAAATAAGCCTCATAGAACCCTTTTAGAAACGGAAATAAACAATTAAAAACTCCAAAGGAACATATGAAAAATTTAAAAAAAAAATAAAGTAACAGCATTTAACTGATGGACCCTATCAACACACACGCATGCGTGCACATGGTTGAGCCACAGAATTTTCCCACAGGCCCAGCAGGCCTCTGTTAAGTAGACATGGGCATATGAATCTTACCTGCAGGAGTCCGTGGGGGAACACAGCGTCCAGTCATGGGATCGAACTCCTCAGGGCTGGTGGGGCAGACACACAGGAAGGAGCCTTCAACATTTTCACACAGTGCAGAGCCACACACACCCTGTAGTGTCTCACACTCATTTACATCTGTGACCAGGAAACACAGTGAGAGGGAATCCATGTTATAAAACTTCTGTGGTTTGAGAAGTCCAAGATTTCAAATGCAATAGATGGGACTGGAGAGATGGCTCAGCAGTTAAGAGCACCAGCTGCTCCTGCAGAGGACCTGGGATTAATTCTCAGCACCCACTGGCTGACAACTTAACTCCAGTACCTGGAGATCTGATGCCCTCTTTTGGCACCTACAGGCACTGCATGTATGTGGTACAGATAAACACTAGACACCTATAATAAAAATAAACCTTTAAATAAGATGGATATCTATTTCTATATATCTTGATAGGTATATATCTCTATAGGTATATGCCTTTTGAGGTAGGATCTCACTGTGTAGCCCTGTCTCACCATGTAAACCAGACTGGCCTTGCTTGAACTTGTGCCAATCCTCCTGCTTCTGCCTTCTGAGTATCAGGATTAGAGGTATAAGCCACCACTGCCAGCTTTCTGTTGTCATTGTTTCATTAAAAAAAAAAAAGCAAACCAACTCACCCCCACAAAAAAGAAAGAACAGAAGAAAGAAAGAAAGAAAGAAAGAAAGAAAGAAAGAAAGAAAGAAAACACAGTTTTACTTTTTAATCTAGGATGGCCCAGAACTTTCTGTATGGTCCAGGCTACCATCAGACTTATAGCAATCCCCCTGCTTCAGTGTCCTTAGGGGCTTGCATTAAATATGCACCATTATACCTGGGTCACGATGTAAATTTTTTAATGATGTACTTATATGCGTGTTTGTAATATGTTTGTATATGTACTGTGTGCAAGGTTCCAATGGAGACCAGGAGAAAGTGCCGGACCCCTGGGAACTGGATTATAAGTTATTATGAGCTGCCACATGAATGCTGGGAACTAAACCCAGTTCCTCCGAAAGAGCAGCAAGTACTCTTAACTGCTGCCCCGACTCCCCACCCCCTAGCATCATTATTTCTCAACAGCCCAGACCCTGTTGTCGACTTCTCTTCTAGTTAGAAACCCTTACTTTCCCTTGAGAATTCCCTGAGCTTCCAAGTCCACCCCATGCATCCTGGGTACAGCCAAGTCTCCAATGGGGCAGAACGAATCAGGTTACTGCGATTCTGTGGGTCAGAGGCAGGCAATGACCTCATCACGCCAATCCAAGCCAGGCTTGAGAACTTTCTGGGTCGCCTCCTTAGCTGTACAGCTGCTAGTCTGAGGCTATGATCCCAGATCTAGGGCCACCTGTCACCGCCTAAAAACAAACCCAGCAGAGGAAGAAAGCTTTGCTGCCGTTCTTGGCACTGCTTACATCTGCACTCACAGACTCTGCCAAATTAACCCCTCCCTCTCCTCTTAGCCATTTTGTTTTTAAATTTTATTCTATGTGTATGTGTGTCTGCCTGCATGTATGTATGGACATCACACGAGTGCCTGGTGCCCTCAGAGGTCAGAAGAAGACACCATATATTTTGGGACAGGAGTTACAAACAGTTTTGAGTCACTTTGTGGGTGCTGGAAACTGAACCTGGTTCTCTTCAAGAGAAGCAAGTGCATTTTAAAATGTATGTATTTTAGACAGATCGTGGTGGTGCATACCTTAAATCTCAGCACTCAGGAGGCAGAGGTAGGCCGAACACTGAGTTCGAAGCCAGCCTGGTCTACAGAGTGAGATCCAGGACAGCTAGGGCTACACAGAGAAACTCTGTCTTGAAAATTAAAATAAGTTTTTTTTTCTGGGCATAGTGGCACAAGTCTTTAATCCCAGCACTCAGGATGCTGAGACAGGTGGATCTCTGTGAAGTTAGCCTGATCTACAGTATGAGTTTCTAGCCAGACAGGTACATGGTATGACCTTGTCTCAAAAAAAAAAACCAAACACATTTGGGGGTGGGATAAAGGACTCTGGGTAAGGGCACTTGTTCTTCTGAAGACCCAGGTTCATTCCCTACACCCAGCTGGCAGCTCACAACAGTTCATAAATCCATTTCCAAGAGATCTGAGACCACTTCCTCTAAGGGAATCAGACACACATATACTACACAAACATTTGAGAAAAAAGAATACACACAAAATAAGTAAATCACATATATATATATATCCTGCACCCCGCAAGACAGGGTTTTTCTGGTTGTCCCAGAACTCACTCTATAGACCAGTCTGGACTCAAACTCATAGATCTACTTACCTCTGCCTGCCGAGTGCTGGGATTAAAGGTGTGTGCCACCACTCCCCAGATCTGTATTATTTTTAAATCAAGTACAAATGTACGTATCTATGTGTGGCTCTGTGTACATGAGTGCAGGTACCCTCAGAGGCCAGAAGTGACAGATCCCTCAGAGCTGGAGTTAGGGGTGGTTGTGAGCCTCCTGACATGGGTGCTAGGAGTCAAACACAGGTCCTCTAAAATAGCAACACGTGCTATTAACTACTGAGCTACATCTCCGTCTCTTCCATGACTCCTTAGCTCTCTGCTCAGGAATAAAGGCTGTTGGTGATGTGGCTCAGGGGCAGAAGGCCTAACTAGCATGCATAGAGCACAGGTTCCAAGAAAAGGAGAGGGGAGAGAGGGAGAAGGAGGGGGGGGAAAGAGAGAGAGAGAGAGAGAGAGAGAGAGAGAGAG